TAATCATCTAAACAATTTTAAAAGTTTTTATACTTAGCGGTTCAAAATTATAATCTTCCAAAAATAAAGCATATTCTTTGCAATGAAATTTCACTTACCATAAATCAACTTCCTTCGATCTTTTTACATTTAATTTGAAATGTTGGCCCTAGGATTAGACAGGCCAATGATACTCTTTCACATGCAGAATATTGCTCCCCTTCTGTGCACACAAGTTTCACAGTTCTGAGCTTGGTTACGGACAGATTACATGGGATTAGGAATGTTAAAGTATTGCCACACTGACCAAGTTTAGATAACTCTGTTAGGAGCCTGCCGTAGAAAATTCATTATACTCATATGCAAACTTTACACTAAGGGGAGAGAGGCTCCTCCATAAATCAGTCTAATTACATTCCTAATCTGTGTTGTCTCCTGTAGGAGACACAGATTACCTAGTCATCCAAGGACAACTAGCCTACTGAATTAGTCTCCTGAATTCCCCATTTCTGCACAAACCTAATCGTGTCAGTCTCACGATACTCCGATTATAACCTTCCCCTGGGGCTTCTGGTTGTTTACCATATCAAAACAACCTGGCTAAGAAAGCTGTAGAGGCCTAATATAATTTTTTATGCCTGTTTCATCTTTTGTTGACAAAGGGCCAAAACAGTCTCACTGAGGTTGACACTAAAGTAGGTTGGCTTCGGTGGCATGCGGAATGGGTTCAGACCCAGTAATGATCACAGACATTGATCATTACTGAGGACATCATAACCTGGAAATCAGGATGAGAGTACCATCATCATCATCATCTTCATCAGGACCACTCTCTTAAATTAGGAGAGTGGGACACTAACCCTGTACATACAAGGAAAACTTCCTTGGTCTTCAGCAGGGCCTGAATGCTACCACTTCTGTATTCTGACCATTTTCTGTGTGACTTCTCAGAGGTATTTCCCTCTCCTGTGTATAATTTGTATTTCTCTCTGAAACAGTGGAGAGTATCACCTTTTCATGCTTGTTTAATAAAGCACACACAACGGCTTTTTACCTCCTAGGAAATAAAGTTGAAATTAAGCAATTATACCTTAGCTGGAAGCAACAACTTTTCTGATGGAATAATCTAACCTACAGTAACTGCAATTACTAAGACATAGTTTCAAAGGCTCAAATTACAACATGAAATGTGATTGCTTACTGAACATTTTTAAAAAGTACAAAGTCTATAAAAAGCATCCACGTTTTTCAGTGTATGTTTTGGTTTTGCTTACATGTCACACATACAAACACATACATATCAAACACACTTAAAAGTATACAGTGCCTCAAAAAGACAGTTTGCTTTCTCAGGTGTCTAACACAGTAGAAATATGTGAGTCTTCAAGTAAAATAAAATATCCACAGGTATAAGAAGATAATTTTCACAATACCTTTGAAAATTTGCTCAAATTAGGTTTGAAGAGTTTTGCCATTATTGAATAAAAATGAATGTGCCATTCAGGTGTTTGCTACTATATTCATTATCTGGCCTCTGCCATAATAATAAGATAATTTTTCTTGTTCCTCTTAAAAACCTGAAAGAACTATTTGTAGGTAATAAAGGACCACAGACCAAATTAATGGAAAATAATCTCTGTTATGTGCATTTGCCAAATAATTTTTCCAACACATACACTAAAAGTAATTTGCCACCTTAACGTTTCTACATGACAACCCTTTTCACAGTACAAAACGTTAGAAAACAGAAAGTATTAAGAATTTTTAAAAGCATATTCAGAACTGCAACAGGCTAATAAAGAGAGACATAGCTGCACAATAAATGTGTAATAATAAATTGCCTTAAATATTAACATCTACTATTAAAGGATAAAATAACTCATTTTATCACCACTACTTTACAAAAAAAGTAAAATTACTCTGTTATTGGTAGCAGTTAGATTATCTATTGAGTTAATAATTGCCCACGGAAAAGGTGAAGAATGTGACGTTATTACACACCTTAGATTTATCACTTTTCAATACTCTTCATTCAATGAAAGAGGAAGGTTTAAGTATCTGTATGAAACTACTTTTTGCCAAAAATACCTAAAGGTCTCAAGTGTCCTGTGGAGCAGTCATATGAGTTCCTTAGGACCTTCTAAATAATGAACTCCTGCCCTGGAAATCATCAGTCATGTTGGTTCTTTCTGTAATTGATGCTGAGACACAGTTGCCATGAAAGCAATCATATCATAGAAATCAGTCTGGGGAGTCATGTAAGCTACCTGTCCATATTTCCGATAGCAAAAGGCAGGCAAGAGGTAAGATGAATCCCACCAAAAGCACCTTTCCTTTTATTAGTTTCATATTTTGGCTTCTTTCTAAACAGAAGCTTTTATTTACTCATTAACAGCTTAAATCTAAAAAGCTGTTTGGGAAATAATTTTGAATTATTTTCCAAAATATTTGTTTTGATGGGAAAAAAAGAATTAATTAAATTAAATTAAATTAAATGACTGCTATGGAAAGAAGGGCTGCTAAGTCCACCAGAGAGAGTTCATATTAATGTATACTTGTATATGCACATCTATTTGTGGAAAACCTGTTTTTCAAATGTAGTCATTTTTCTTAGAAGGGGACATATTATTTTATGCTGATTTCCTAATATTACTTCAAAACAGTGACAAATGAAAAAGCCTATTAATATTTTAAAAAATCTATATTTCTGTTTGTTTCTAAGTCCTGGAGCTCCTTGTTTTACTAGCAGCTCAGAATACTAGACGTATTTGCAGCAGAAGATAGAAATCTTTCATATTGAAGAAAGCTTTTAGAAGTAGGGAGCTTTCTTTATCCTTAAAGGCTTTATTGAAAAATATATGGATAGAGAAAATCATATTCTCTCAGGCAGTACAGAAGTTTACGGTGACAAATATTCAACTTCTGTATATGTGAAAGCAAACGGAAAAATTCTTGCTTTCAGTTTTTTATACAGAAACATTTTGCACCTGAAACATAGCTATGAATAGAAATTTAATCAAAGAATGAAATGATTTTAAACTCCTGGCATTAAAGTAGAAGGTCTAAAGCCCACCAATGGAAGTAGAAATTTTGCTAAACCAGCCTTAGATGTCACTCTGCGAAGGCATGAATTCTGGGGTTCTGGACATGGAATGATTGCCTTTCTTCCTAAAGAAGTATATTTAAACACAGCAAAGTAGAAAAGGAGAAAAAGGCGCTGAAGGACCACGAGATCTTGGGGAATTATAATGAAAAGAAAGCTTTATAAAAACTTCATCCCCTCTTTGCCTACCATTCCTCAGCAGAGAAAGGACTTGTGTGCAATCGCTGTCTTCCAAATAGTAAACAACTGCTTTGCTCCAAGCTTTTTTGGACAAACAGAATTCCTTGCAATAGTGGTGATGTATAAAGGAACATGGTAACTATTTTTTTATTAAAAATTCACCATGGGTAAATTAGAAAAGCAGGAAACGTTTCAGTTCTTTTACTAAATTATAAACAACAACCAATAACCAAAGGTATTTACATGAAGCTGGCTAAGCCCTTAATTCCACTGATTAAAGCAGTGAACACTTGTAGACCTACATTCAGAATGTCTTCCGTATGATAGGAAAAAGTTAATTTTTGAATAACAGGATGTTATTGCCTCTTATGCAGTATTAAATATCCTTCAGAAAGCAGAAATTCAACTTCAGAAAATGTTGAGAGTGGTCAGATTCTTCCAGGATCACACCATAATTCCCTAGGTTACATGTCAATAGTCAACTTCACAGAAAAAGCATTCAAAGACATTGATTTTCAGCAGCAGAGAAAAAAAATGCATTTTACATTGTAATGTCCAAGGCAAATGCAAGTGTGTCTTAATTTTTGTATCAAATGAGGTAACTAAATTGCCATCAGCAACATTTTCCTGTAAACATATTTTTACAACATTCCTAGTTTCAAGACAAAGGTTTCTTTTAGGCTGAAATGTGAAAAGTTTTCTTAATTGAAGAAGAAATATGTTTATTATAAACATGAAAGGGTAATTTAGATATGAATGGACTCAAGAACCAAAATTTCATTATTGTACTCTGATACTTTTAATCCATCCTAGATCATTCACTTCTCATGCTCTAGATATACAATTGTTCAGTAAGTATGCAAAAATTTTTAAACAAGCAAATAATAAAACAAACAAGTATTATTAAACCCAACACAGAAATATATAAAGCTCTTCATTAAATTACCTTTACATAGTCCTACATGTGAAGAGCCTTTTTTTAACTTCCTTGATAAAGTATACGTTACTAATACTCTTTCAATTTAAATAGATATTTGTGTTTAAAACTGATTCCTTTGTCATGGCCAGTAAGCAACTACCTTCTCAAAATATGTTTTCAGCTTCAGTCTGAAAGCAATGTAATTCAGCAATTAAGGATTCTGCTGAGTGCTTTGCTTTCCTAAAACTAAATCATAAACTGACCACTTAAAAGAAACTAGATTAAGGCCATTTCTTCTCCCTTACAAAAAACATTCAAATAGAATTAGGCACTCAAAAAAAGAATGCGTGGGTATGAAAAGAGTTTATAACAGATGAAAGTATTAATTGTGCCTTTTCCCCATGTATTTTGCTAATAATTTGAAATCGTTCATTTAGACATGGAACAGGGTATGTGAGGAAAAAGTGAAAATAACCAGTATTCTAACCTCAGGGTGTGCTGACAGTCTCTTAATGTGCAAAGGAGAGTAAAATCAATAACAAAGTGAAAGAATGCTTTAAAATTAATTAAAATTTGAACTAAATTTAATTGGGAATTTTCTCTGTTCTCACTCTAGCTTTACTCCCAAGAAATGCAAGCTTAATACCAAACAAACACTTAAGATACTGTTTTCCTACATCCACTGCAAAAATAGCTAAAAAAAGGAAAAAGCTAGTCTTTTAAGTCTTAAAGTGGCCTATTTTTTCCACAAAAATTTGTCTTTTTTGAACAGACAAATAAAAAGCTTTTACACCTGAGAAAATAAACTTTTTAACCTACCTCGACTGCATATCTTGGTGTGTTTTGGACTGGCTGATTTCAGCTGGAGGTGAAGGGACTTGCTGTTGTAGCTCCACCAAAGACTGGTAGTACTGTTGCTGATGATGTTGCTGCTGTTTGTACCGAGACAAACTGAAAAACAGCCCTAAAATGGCTTTCAAATTTCCATTCCTTATTTCTATTTTTAAAAAAGAGAAAAAGAAAAAGAAGTGAAAACACTGTGGTTTTAGACTTCAGTTTTGTAACAGTTTTATACTAAAACATCTCTGTACATACCTATAGCTATACATGTTTATGCCTTATATCTCTTCATTTATCTCTAATATCAGGGATGTGTCCTGTATCACTGACATTTTATTGCTTGTTACAATCTTTGCTTATTTACATGTCATTGTTGCAATAAATACATATCTCCATAATGTCCTCATGATGAGTCATATGTGCATGGTCATAAAGAAAAGTACTCCAAACCTTAAGTAAGATACATAATCTGAAGTGAATACTCCTGCCTCGATACAGTACAAATATTCTCAGTAAGCAGGGGGGCATTCAGAAAAATCTGAATTCTTTCTGGCCTTAGGTACACATCCCTTCTACCTCATGGCTTTAAATTGCTCTTCTTGCTTTTTGGGCAAATTCTGTGCACACTGGGAGTAAACAGTGACTTCTAGAAAAATTGGAAAGAGGAGATAGTAACAATCTTGTGGATAAGCACATATTCATTCACAACAATTTGCAAGGAACATGAGAGAAGAAGATCAATGGAAAATACCTATTAAAAAAAGTAATCGTAAGGTTCATGATTACATCTTTGAACTTTCCAACTACATGATTTTCTAGCTTTCTGTTTTACACTGCTATCACTGATTAATGAAGGCTGCAAAACTACAGCTTTCACATGAGGCTAAAATAGCTACTAGTATGAAATTCTGGTGAGCCACAGTAGCATCCTCATGTCTCCCATTCCTTTCTTAGTCTTTCCCCTGGCTAAGATGAAGGTTTTAAAAGGATAATGTTATTCTTTGTTCATAAAGGATCTCTGTATCAAAAAAGAAGCCTCAGGAGGCTTTAATGAAATTATCTGCAGCACTTAGGTCTGTTCATAACCTCATTATTAATTTTCTTTGGCAGTGAACTTCTTGTAAAAGGTTTTCATTAGGCCTGTAGCCTTGTAACCGAACTTGCAACACTGCAATCTTTCTGCCTTCCCTGCAAATCTGAATACTGAGCTGTATGTGCTACACAGCCTTTCTTAGGTAATTTTTAAAGCAGAATGTATAAACAATGACTGTCATATTCATGTCCTTTATACCATACTAATTTTCTTTCAATAGGACTAATTTCCTTTCAACAGGATTAAGTGAAATGTTAATACATACAGTATTAACACTGGAGCCCTTATGCTCTCAACCCGTTCTTCAAAAGCAAACACAATCCCAGACACTGGAATATACTTTGCAAAACGGAAATTTGTTCTAAGTATCCATACTTTCTCATCTTCCCTGTGAAGATGCTGCAGAATCTTTGATTCCCCATGAGACCACCAGAGATACACAGAAGAACTTTCTCAGAATTAGAAAGCTTTTTAAGCAACAATGACTTTTGCAGTCAGGTTGGTTTCAAGGAAGATCATTATCAAGGAACACAGAAAACTTATATTTAAAATTATCTTTAAAAAACCCAATAAAAACACAACTATCCATATTTAAGCTGCTCTGATTCTAAAAGATTTTCTGTACGTGATACCGATTTATTTATTTTTATGATTTTGCATCACTTGATGCTCAGAAAAAGAACCCTTTGTTTGTTAAATCCCACTCATCATTTTTTTATTTTAAAATTTTGCTCTTTTTGTGTTAAACTATATTTTTTACTATTTCTAAAGAAGAATGTTACCGATTTTGAACTTCTTTTTCTTTCCTACTTTTAAACGAGTTGGAAGATTTTTCTTAAACAGAAAAAATCCAGAAACTGCTAATATGGAGTGTTTTTCTTCATAGCAACTGGCTTATTATTTATCATTTGGGTTCTCCAGTAGAGATTATGCAGTCAAGATTTGAAAACTACTTTTGTTCTAGACCTCCTTGCTCAAATGTCAAAATGAGGTGGGAAACTGATTGTGGAATCTTCAATACTTGTTAAGCTCATGGTTTGCTGTTCCAGAAACTGCCTGGTCACTAATAAATGACCCAGTAGTAACAAGACATATTTACCAAAGCCTATTACAAGAAACAGACTTACGGTTTCTAAACTTACTTGATTTTAAACATAAATTTGCTGACAAAACACCATGAAGGTAACTTGAGAATTTCATGATAAAAAAAAGAGTCTGTTTTTCTCAATTTCTTTTCCTCAAGAGAAATTGTAATATTCAGGATTGTACATGCTAAAAATGGTGTATTTAAGCAAATCACACTTCTGTGATACTTTGAACTAATACCATTACAAACATATTAGCAGATTTACACTAGATTCATGACCAACTGAAAAACAGCAAAACTAATTTTAATCTTACTTCATAACTCAAGGTCTGCCTTATTAAAATTCTGTTTTAAAGACTGATGAAAGTTTTAAAAAACAGTCCTTACATTTAACACTATGTAGTATTATTGCTTTCAGTAGTATTTGAACTTAATGCGACACAGTTGAAGCTTATATCCTATCAAAAAATATTTTCCAAAACAAAACAAAGGTATGAATAAAGGAATGTATTACAGAATGCACTCAGATTTTGATTTAACAAAGTACAGGAAAAAAGTGTCATGTGCCATATCATGGTATTAGACAATGAAGAGTATTCTCATGAAATAAATTCATGCTATTCACACATTTGATTGTTATTTCATATGCAAGTAAAAATAGGCTTCACTAAAAAATTCAAGTTCTAAACAACTTTGAGATGAACGGTAACATGTAAATGTTCAGTGTTCTCATTCATCAATGTATCTACAGTATATACAGAGGTTCTTTTAAATCAGTTAAGAAGCTTTCCATAAGTAGACAGTCATAGTGAGTAGATAGTACATATCGTGGCCATGTTACACTTCTGCTAAGGTACTAGAAATGTGGAAATGTTGAAAGATAATAATTTTGGGTTAATTTTAAAATAAAACAGTGGTTAACATTCAATTTTTTTCTCTAGAGATCTTCTAAAATTCAACTGAAATTACCAGTTCTGGAAAAAATGTATTTTTCCTTCTAGCTTTTAGTTGTGTGACAAGGAAAATAAAAATATAGGGTTGCGTCTTGTTAATACCTGTTGTTTGCAGCTGCCATGGAAGTCAGAGGGATTTTGAAGGTGCACAGCACCTTGCAGGACTGCTTAATTAGTTACAGGACAAACGCTTGTATATGTTTTATTAATTTACACGATAAAGTATCTACCTGACTTAAATTTACATTAGTAAGGCAAATATTACATACTAATTAAGACAATTCATATTTTAATGGTTTTGATTTAATGTATTTATTCACTTGGTTGTAACTGTATTAGGCAGTCACTTGAGGTGATTAATACAGCAAAAAGGGCTGTAATATAAGCAGCAAGACCATTTACTCTTTCACTTAATACATGACATCAAAAGAATACAATAATTTTCAGACTCATCCTGACAGCATTACTACTAATAATAAATTTGCTTAAACAAATCGTCTTCCCTGGGTTTACTTAACTAAGCAAGATTCTCATATTCATTTTTGTTGTTTTGGATCCCATATATAAACAAGTTTAAAAGTACGCTTGGGAAACCCTGTACTTATCTAATATCGTGGAGATAACATGAAAAGATTAATACTATTGAAAAAATTATTATTTTAAAAAATTGTCTCAGGCTTCATAAACATTGAAATTCTTGGTTCAATTTCAAGGGAAAATTAAAAGGAAACCTAAAATTCTGTCTCATTCGCTATCACTAATCTATATTTGCATGCTGTTCAAGACAGCTGGAGTTTGGTATTTAAGTGCAAATAATTTGTATTAAGAAAATTAGTTTTCAGAAAAAAAATCTTATTATTTGTTCTGATGATCTGTTTCTCTTACCTTCTGCAGAAAGACCTTGGACATTTACGCCTCTGGCTGCCAGAAAGCTAAGGCAGACATCAACATTCTCAATCTGCAATATGAACAGAAATAACAAGCAGCATAAGACTATTTGACAAAATGTAGAAATGCAGGGGGGGCTGGGGAGAAGAAACAGCTCAGGAATGAATACTTTACATTCATCGCATACTGCAGCTCTTTACCAAAGTTTAACAAGAATGATTACTGCTAATTGGGGAATTGATATAAAGCTTTCATTGTCCACTTTGGTGCTTAAAAACAATTCATAAATGCCCAATCCAGAATGGCATGCTGGCAAATCAGCAACCCACCTACTTAACATAAAACTGGATTTTATACGCTACAAACAAGCAGCAATGAAAGCATCCATAGAGCATTAGACACTGAGTATATGTCTGGAGATGTGGGTGACTGAGTTAACTAAAAAATGTAAGCAAAAAGCTCCAACAAATGTGTTAGCAAAGGTATTTCCTTGGATGATGTAGAATTCTGTGAAAATGATGTCACAGCAGTGGTTTATTCTCCATTTATTCCTTCAAATCTTATGCTAAATAATTTTAGTTTATTTAATGTTTATGCTTCTCGGAAGAGAGCTTGCTTAGTGAAGGACATGGTGCTGACTTCTGTTGGTGGTTTAGAAGAAATCTACAGTTACCACAGAGAGCTTTAGGTAAGAGAAGAACATGTAGCCTAAATGGAGATCAGTAAAAGGATAAAACTTCTGCCTCTAAAACAAGTAATCACGGAATTAATTTAACTCCTTTCATCCATCTATTTCAAATAGATTAGGGAACCAGAGTGTTCCAAAAGGTTCCCTTGAGACACCATCCCCAGCTGGTTCCCCCAGCCCTCCCAGGATCAATGAAGCAAATATCCAGCTGTACGCGTAAAATCTTTTAACTAACAGGTTTGTATAGAAATATGCTGCTATGAAAACAGAAAAATGATGTATAGAGAGGTGTCCTACGTCAAATGCCTTCAACAGACTTGATTTTAAAACACATTTTTTAGGTTGATGGATTTTTTCAAGGCAATTAGGACCACAAAAATAAACCAAAACATTTACCAATGTATTTTAAATACCTATTTTCATTGGAGAATATTAAAAATAGAAAGGAATACTCAACACCAAAACCATAAGCCTGCAATAGATCAAGTTGATACAAATAACTTTATTTGAATGTTTACACATTTTACAATACCTCATATCAAAAATTTTCAACCGACAAAACATAAGGGATAAATTCATTCCTTGAATAAAAGCTACTTGATCCTTGGCAGTATCTTTTCTCGCCTAGGAGGAGGGCCTTTTATTATTGTCATCTTTCTATGGTTGTAGTTCTGCCATTATTCTCAGAAAGCTACATCAGCTAAAAGGAATATAAATATACTTTTTACCACTGACCCTAGAAGCATATATTACGAGCTCACACAGATTCCCTTGATCCACAGGTAGTACTTAGAAACTTACAAGCATCTGCAAAATTTTGAGAAATGCGCTTTTTAAGCACAATAAACTCCAAAGCATTACTAAATCATCTTTTAAAAAGTCTTTTCAAACACTTGTTTTCAAGGACATGCTACCATTTAGAGGGAATGATAAATAATCTCTCTCCTGAATCAATTAAAAAAAACCCCAAAACCCAAACTCTGCAGCTAACACTAACTAAAGGTACTCCTAAATTGGGGTTTACCATAAAGCTTTCATAAATCAGTTCGGCAGGTGCCCCAATTTGCACAGCTGTGAATGTGGAACAACCGTCCTAAAATCAATAGGGTTACTCCAACTCTGGCCCAGCACAGTAACTGCAGAAAGTCAGGCCTTAACTCTGTCATTTTCTTAGACGTTTGCGTAGTTTTACACCACGAAAAAACCCCAAATAAACCAGGTCATTTCGTAAGGTGCGGAGATGTGACGCAGCTAAGTCAGTTGAAAGCTGACTGCAGCTAACATAAGGAGATCTGCTTCTTCCTCACCTCCTCTTCCTCCCAGGCATGGGGCCCTGCCTCTGCCGCCTCTGCTGGGCTTCAACGCTTCTCTGAGCACACCGGGAGCTGGCTCCGCGCAGAAAACTCGCCCAGCAAAAAAGGCAAACCTATTTTAGTCACTCCGTTTTCCCGTGCAGTCAGATGAGCACAGGAGTCAGCAGAGGGCAGGGCGCGTCCCAGCCTGAGTAAGGCACGGTTTGGGAGAGGAAAGGGGAGGTGGGAAGTAGGGACTGGCAGATGGTGCCACTCCTGATGGCAACGGCGAGGCACTGGGCTGGCTCAGCCCTGACCTCCAACTACACCCCTGCATCGGTCGTGAAAATAATGCTCACGATGAGAATATTTCTACTCCACCTTTAAACAATGTCAACTACATAAGAAAACAATTTGAATGGAAATTTTCCTGTCCTGAAGAATTTAAAAGAAACGAAGGTTTATTTGGATATTAGCTGTAGAACTGAGTGTCTCTTTGAACTTTCAAATCAACCATAATGCAGAATCAACTACTTCAAAGATGGGAAATTTTGCTCTATGACGAAGTACTGGAAGACAAAGGAAAAAAAAAGGAAAAAAAAAAGAAAAATCAGGCTGACGTCAGTAGTGTCCACCTCCAAATAACTGAAAAAATATTTCCTAGCAGACATTCTCGTGTAACCAAGGTATTTTTCACAATGGGCGTGTGCCCTCTGCAGTAGTTCAGCAGACCATAGCTATAAACAAAACGTAATTTATTAGGGAACATTTAAACCCTAATGCGCTGTGAAAACATCTCAATATTTATCTGCAATACTGAATATTTAGTAAATAGTAAGCCTAATACATAAACCTTAACACATATTTAAGGTGAAAAATATCCTATAGAAATGGCACCTGGTTACTTTACGTGCCTACTTCTACAGCATGTGTCTTTGAAGTCACAACTCTTAAACTCTCAGACAAAACTAGTCATTACCATTAACACCAATGACTCAATATACTGCAGAACTACAAAGCAAATTCTGTTTTCCTTCGTAGTTCACCAAGAGAACTATAATAGAAGCCCTGGGTCCAAAGTCACTCCTCTCGGTAGTGGTGTATGAAGTAATAGTGGTGGCCAACTTTCAGACAATAGACTGTGGTTGCACTATTAACATTATAATAAAGTCTTGTTTTGACTTGTGAATTGAGCAAGTTCGGTGTGGCAAGTCACAGCCATATAATACACTGAAAATGTCAGAATATGACTCTTAGAGTCAGTTTTCTGATAATAACTGCAGTTACTATACAACTCTCAGGAACTGCTAGGAAATTTAATGAGACGTGCATTAATACATTCTTGGGTTATTTTCACTTTCTTTCCTCTCCAGTCTAGAAAACCTTAGCCTTAAAGTTGTCTCATTTTGAAGCTTTCAGTGTGTCTCTAAACATTGCTTTAATTACCTACTTCTTGCCTTGGCAAACCACAGTTATTCTTTGAACTCAAACCCTAGCAGCCCCAAACACTTTTTATTCAAACTTACTAACAGATGAGACTAATTTTGCAATTACAAAAGTTCTAAGAGATTTCAAGCGGCTTCCACTCCTCAATACTGTTTCAATCAAGATTGGTATGAATCCCTGAAGTCCATGTTTATTTACGTAGTTAGTGGTGGGGTTATTATATGCTGGGACAAACTCTTCCTAGAGCTGGCACTGCATGTGTAGAAATCTACCTGCTTATATATCAAGGGCTGAAGATTTTGCAGAGTAACACTTAACATAGTCGCCAGACAAATTTTGTATCTGCCCACAATTTTGTAGTGAATTTTACTTGCAAAAAGCACCAGTTTATAACAGAGCTGATGTTCCTCATTAGCACAAATAGTATCATCAGAATTACAAAGTGTTATAACAGAAGATATAGTTCATTACAGTACAGAATTCAGGATATACAGATTGATTCCAAATCTTACATATCAAGACACAGAAAGTAACTCAAATTTGCAAATTTGTTTCTACAGGTAGATGTGCCAAGATCAGACTGTTGCTGAACAGCTCTCCATCACTGTCAATCCCCCAAACTTTTTGTTCCAAGGCACTTATTTTATATTAAAGGCTCAAAAAAGTGGAAGAAGTGCAGTACATTGAATAGCAGATCTGCCACATTAAAAATCTTAAAACCTATAAATGGGATAAAGAATTAATAATATAATAAACCTTCATTGCCATGTAGATATTTGTCCACTTAGCTATTCAATTAACCATGTTGAAAGTCAATCAACACTACAAGATTGCTTTTCAGAGGTAAAAAAACCCCTCTCTCTGATAATATAATCACTTCCTTATCAACACTTGAGAATAATATGTGAAATTCTGAAATGTAGCTCCAGCATCGTGGGGACAGATAAACTCAGCTAAGAGGATGATAATTTAGCAATTAAGATTTGTGGGCATCATCAAGTAGATAACACCGTTTGATACTTTTTAGATTAAGCCTACTGAGTTATGCATCCAATATATTAAGCTTCTTTCATGAATCAAATCATTTTAAAGTTGTTCATATACACACATTATGAAAAAACCACCGGAAATACTTACACCGTAAATAGTAGCGAGACCCAAGATATTTCTGCATCCACATTTTAAGGGGTTATAGTCCAAACGATGATGTACAAATAAGCAGCAATATCATAACTCTGATACTATTAATACATTACGTGGCATACAAAGAAGATACATTGCAAATCTGCTGTAACATATTACATTGCGTAGTTGTGGGTAATCTGTTTTTGACTGGAAGCTATTTGAAATTTTACTGACAGAAATAAATCACTAAACCAGACTGTGGGACTTCCATGTAGATAAACAGTAGTACTTAATAGCCAGCAGTTAGCAGACTTACAGGAAGACCTCATTTGTGGGATTGTACTCACCAGTGACTCAACATATAGAATATGTCAATTTATTATAATTATTTTTGCTGTTACCAAGATTAGCTTTCATCTCTTTTGTCTGGCAGACAACACTTTCTTCACTTCCAAACATAAATTTAATTGTGGGATGCTCAGAAGACAAGTAATGATGACTAATAGAGCATTACGTGTT